AGTTCTCAACTATTGGTTCTAAATTCATACAATTCAATTTTAGATGTATAATTGTAATGATTCTAGCATGCTAGGTTAACTATTGTCTACATAGAAATTGTGAAACACCTTTTTTTAATTTTTTTTTTCTTCTTTTTTGAGCAAATGAAATTACATATTTTTCTCATGCAAATTTATGTATCTGTTCATATTAAAATTGAGAACATATAGCAAAATTAATTGCACTCACAATCCATTAACTTGATTCATTCTTCATTTATTGCAAGTATAATGGAAATGAACAAGTGTTTCCTCATAGCACAAATGTTATTATTTTCTTTCTTTTTTCTTTTTTTATATCATGCTCAATGTGCTATTTAATGCTCTAATGAAATGAATTTATTCAATCTCTTCATTATTTATTAAAAGTTGACAAAGATATTAAATAGAACTAGTTGCTTAACCAATAGATTCCTTAAAACCACCTACTCAATTATATGTTTATATATTAAGGGTGATAAAATAGATAGATCGAATGAATATGGATTGAATTGTTAATGAATGAATCAAAATAATTTATTAGTCTATTAACTATTAATATTTTCTTAAAAATATTCAACCAACTTCATTTATTAAAGATAAAAATTCATCAAATTCATTTACATCATTTTAATGAATTGCATTCATAGAATTAGTTTAAATATTTTTTTTTAAATATTCTTTTATGTATTTCATATTTTCGAAAAAAACATGATTTTTTGTATTTTTGAAAAAAAAATCAATTTTTCTGTATTTTTTAAAAACTCAATTTTTTTGTATTTTCGGAAGAAAAAAATTTGTTTTTCAATAAAACTCGATTTTTTCGTATTTTTTGAAAAATCTCGTTTTTTTGTTTTTCGAAAAAACTCGATTTCTTCGCATATCATGAAAATTTTCAATTTTGGGGAAAAAACTAGATTTTTTTTGTTTTTCGAAAAAAAACTCGATTTTTTCGCATTTCATGAAAAAGGCCCGATTTTTCAAAAAATACCTGATTTCTGTTTTTCGATAAAACTTGATTTTTTTTGTATTTCTTGAAAAAACTTGATTTTTCGTTTTCCGAAAAATCTAGATTTTTTCGCATTTCATGAAAAAACTCAGTGTTTTCGTATTTCCTGAAAAATCTCGATTTTTTTCGCTTTTCATGAAAAATCTCGATTTTTTGATAAAACTCGATTTTTTCGTATTTCCTGAATAATCTTGATTTTTTTTGTTTTTCGAAAAAAACTCAATTTTTTCGTATTTCATGAAAAATCTTGATTTTTTGAAAAAACTCAATTTTTAGTTTTTTGATAAAACTCGATATTTTCGAATTTCCTGAAAAATCTCGATTTTTTTGTTTTGTGGAAAAACTAAATTTTTTCGCATTTCATGAAAAATCTTGATTTTTCAAAAATACATAATTTTTCATTTTTTGACAAAACTCGATTTTTCTGTATTTCCTGAAAAATCTCGATTTTTCAATTTTCGAAGAAAAAAAATCGATTTTTTTGCATTTCATGAAAAATCCTGATTTTTCAAAATACCTGATTTTTCGTTTTTCAACAAAACTCGATTTTTTTGTATTTCCTGAAAAATCTCGATTTTTCAATTTTCGAAAAAATCTCGATTTTTCAATTTTCGAAAAAATCTCGATTTTTCAATTTTTGAAAAAATCTCGATTTTTTGCATTTCATGAAAAATCGAGATTTTTCGAAAATACATGATTTTTCATTTTTCAAAAAAACTTGATTTTTCTGTATTTCCTGATAAATCTCGATTTTTCAATTTTCAAAAAAACTCAATTTTTTTACATTTCATGAAAAATCTCGATTTTTCGTAAAAACTCATTTTTTTGTAATAAAAATTCATTTTTTTTATTTTCAAAAAAATCAATTTTTTGGTTTTTAACTATACAATAAAAATAATTCAGTGGATTTTTAATATATATATATATATATATATATATATATATATATATATATATATATATATATATATATATATATATATATATATATATATATATATATATATATATATATATATATATATATATATATATATATATATATATATATATATATATATATATATATATATATATATATATATATATATATATATATATATATATATATATATATATATATATATATATATATATATATATATATATATATATATATATATATATATATATATATATGAATGGATGTTCAATCCATTAACTTACTTTTATAGATTAGATAGATTTTTTAATAAATAAATTAGATCAATTTTATCTTAATGGATCCCATTGTCACCTCTAATATTTACATTCCATCTATTTTTGAGACTGTAAAATCACAATATTTTTGGTGATATATTTGAATTAGCTAATTTTTAAATTACAACGGTTACTTTCAAATAATTCAAAATAGTGATACAATTAATTTTTATTGTAACAACTATCTATACATAACTCACCCTTAGATACTGTAACAACCATGCCTTTGGATCTATATTTCTCTAAATTATTTCTCTCATCATATTTCCTATTTTTTTATTTTATTTTCTCTTTTATTAAAATTGGATAAAATGAACTAAACGTATAGTGTTTTTGGCATCATAAAGGTAGCAAATCCCTACTCCACTGTTAGTTATTTTCCCCTTCATTTTTTAGAAAGCTCAAAATCTATTTGGTTTAACAAAATATTACTTTGAACCACCAATAATTTCTATGATCATTTTTTAGTTGTCACAATAATTTCTATGATCAATTTTAAATAAAATTTGGGACAAAAGAAAATGTAAAATATAAATAAATTGTGATTTTTATTAGGTCATGAGAGGAGCCAAAGATTATCACATTAGATTTTTTTTATAGATATAGTGATAATAATCACTAAAATCTCATACAAATAATTGAATTTAATCTAATAATATTGATATTTGTAAGTTGAGTTAGACTTATGGGTCACGTTAAATTTTATTTTATCGTATAAGTAAATGTAGTCATTGTTTTAGATCATAATATTAATATATTAGACATATATGAATATGTTCACTTGTTTTTCAATATTTATTTTACTATTCAAAATAAAATTCTTACATCTAATACACCAACACTCTCAATGCCAAATAATACATCAATTAAGTTGGATTTACTTCCACTCAAGTGTGGTAACTTGTTCATCCACAAACATATTTATATTGTTGTTGACACTCTACTTCAATGAATTATATCTCCTAATTTATCCGAAAAATTCCTAACACTATGAGTCTATCAAATCAATCTTTGATACTACTTTTGGTTAAGAGGGGACATGAGAAATCATCATATTAAACTTTAAACATTCACATAATTAAAATTAAATTCCTTGTTATAATTCAAAATCTTAAAACACTAGATACATAAATCTCATCATTTATATGTGTTATTAACATTTACTTCATCATTTAATGTGAAACTCTTACTCACTTGATATACCAACAATTTCTTCCACAAATAATTCAATCAATTAATTTTAGATTGTATTTAAGATTTTTTACATGATGTTAAATCCTACTTTGCCATTTAATACGAGATTCTCGGTCACATTTGATATTCCAATTCTTTGATATCTCAATTCTCCTCAACTGTGTATTCATAAACTAATTCGTTTGATATTCCAATTCCCCTCAAATGTGCATTCATAAACTAATTTAGAATGATTTTTCCTCTGAAAATTTTATCATCTAGAAACACTTAACCCATTGTCGTCACTTCATGCTAATAAGACACTTCCTCAACAGCCAAATAAATCATATCAATGACCATAGAGGCAATCGAACTAGATTTTAAATAAATATAATGTTCTCTTCTTTTTTTAAGGACAAACAAAATATCACATTAGAGACCAAATGCACTAGAGATAAATATCCATTTTTATTTGATGAGGAGGGTTAAGTTAATCGATCAAAGATCTCTAACTCTTGAATTCTCTTTCTTCTTAAGTTTACACACATTTGACTGCTTCACTCAGGAGGTCTTAGAATCTTCTTTCACACTCTTCCAGAGGAATCTTCTCAAAATCTTCACTAAAGTCTTTCATACTTTCACATGCATCTTAATGAAAAGATAGAAAGAAAAAATAACATTGAAGACAAAATTTAGAAGGACCACTCTGCGACCTAGGCTAACGTATCTATGATGCCAAGAATTAAGCCTCTTTCGCAAGAGAATCTCAAGTGGATTTCAGGCAAGGACTTTCTCCCACTAGCAACGTTAGAGTACTTAAAGGGGGAGTCTCATTCCTACAATAAAGAAAGTCCTAAGCTGATTTTTAAGAATGAGAAATTTACATTTATCTCAATCAGACTACTTTTATGAAAGTTAACTCTAAAATCTGAAATTACCTCAAAACCCCTAATGGTCCACATATTCTCGTTTGAAGGATCAGTCAAGATTATTGTATCATCAACGATCTGGGATAGAAAGAAAATCTCAAGACTAGAAGAACCAACTCTAAAACCAGACAAAAGTCTCATATCCAAAAAGCCCTCCTGATCAACCAATATAAATTCTCTCAGTTATGTGTTGTTCATCTACTTTTCTAAGGTGTCTTTCGAAAGACTTTCGATAGGTAGAGTCGGTCTAACTAGACTCTAAAATATATATGTTCTCTCATAATTTATATATTGTGAAATTCTTACCGGTCTATCATACTAAACCTAACAACTTTTGCAATTAAAGCTGATTGCAAAAAATTAAAACACAATCCAAAGATATGCCGGTGATTAAAAAGAAAACCTGTTGAAATGAATTGGTAACCAGATTTTACCATAAATATTATTATATAAGGAATTATTTAGAACCAATAAACCAAAGTAGCAATAAACCAATACATCCCCCAACTATATAACCACATCTCCAAAATACGAAGCAAAATAGGAGATGGGCACTAAATATATTTAAACTATAAAAAACTGCATGAAATTGAAATCTCCTTCTTCATGACGCAAATCCGGACACCAAAACCTCACTGCTGCTTGCACTCTGCTGGTCTTTCACCCTGCTGACCATCACCGGACTGCGCTATCCCGCCCTTCTGAAAACATAAAACAACATTGAAACGGGGAATTAACACTTTGTAATTTCAATTAATAGAAGAGAGTTTTGCTAAAAAGAGATTGTTGCTATCACTATTCCTAGAGACAATGTTAATTAAAGGGCATCAAGCAAACAAATTCGTCAAAAAGTTAAGATATCATACCTTAGTTATTGACAACTGCGGCAACATTCCGAAGGAAATTAACACCACAGGACAAGCAAAAAACAACCATGTTAATTCAAGTTCAAACTTCAAATTTATAAAATAATAATAAGTAAATTAAACTAACATTTCATCAATTCAGATAATCAAGATTATACCATCTTTTCAGTCTCAGCCCCATCCTCAGATTCTTCATCATCATCTTCCTCTTCATCGTCGTCATCTTCATCCATATCATACTCATCGTCATCATCATCAGTTTCATCATCGTCGTCTCCTGCCTCCCCAGTAAACCATGAAACAGCATGGGGGATGATCTTCTCTCGGATAGTTGACCTAAACAAGTATTAAAAATCTCATTTAAGTATAGAATCAAGATTACATGGACAAAAACAGTTAAGTTAAAACAGTACAGAATTTAGCTTACCCGATGTCATAGTCCAGCTCCATCTCATTTTGGAGATCCTCAGCCTGTTTAAAAATTAAAAATAAAATTGTTCAAGAAAAAAATAGTATTTCATATATGTATTTAGCAATGAGTTTATATAGAGAGCATGTCATACCACTTCTTCATCAAGGACCACATCATCTTCAGGGACTTCTGGAGGACTGAAAAAGTTGAAGAAACTATCACAGGTTTCAGTTTTTGTAGTTGGTTTTGCATTCTTCGAGCCCTTCTTTGACTTCTTTGTTAGAGTCTGCTCGGTCAAACACTTCCCAGGTAACCAATTTATTACAGTCCTGTAAAAAAATGCAGCAGACAAACCTTATTCATGATCGTAAACTATGGAAAATAGATTGCATAATAGCATCGGGTAAAAACGACCAGCTTACCCAATAGCCCTCTCCAGTATGGGCTCGTCCTCGTCCACCATGTGATATGTTTTAGTCAAGACTGAGTTTGAAAAATATGGATTAGTATCGAAAAAGAACTCGAGCTTGAATCCTTTTTGCTCTTGGAGCTTCGACCACTTGATGTCTTTCAGAAATGTCAAAGCTTCCTCATCATGCTCCGTAATCTAATTCATAATGAAGCAGTGAAAAGATCATTACAAAATATGTAATTTTATGGCTATAAAAAATCAAACATTAAAAAGTAAAAAAGTTAACAATTGAACACTTTTGTCAATTTACCTCTCCAGTTACCACATCATTGTTTTGCAAAGCAATGAGCCAGAAAGATGGCACCCCTTTCTCTACATAAATCACAGGAAAATTAGTAAAGTCAGGAATTAAAACAATAAAATGTGTAAGGTGTCAATTTCAATGGGATAATTGGTAAAGTCGAGAATTAAAACAATAAAAGTGTAAGGTGTCGGTTTCTAGTTTATACCTTCAGCTATATCAACAGCAGTTTCAATTGGTACCGGTGCCACTTCAGCAACACCATTCACAATTTCATAGCGCTGCATTCATTCATAAATAAATTTATGGATAAAGAAATTACATCAAATGTTACCATACAAATTAAATCCAATAACTTTAAACACGAATAATTGAAAAGTCAATAACGAGAATCCTCTAGATACCTTAGCATACAATGGTTGATACAAAGTTTGGTATTTGGCTTCAAGAGCTGCTCTCTCCTCAAAAAACTTTGCCTCCAGTTCATCATGTGCACTCTGTACAGTCATCAATCAAGATCAGAAGCCGATATTACGAAGAAAATTCACAAGAGTAATTGATATTCATTGTTATAAAAAAAAAATCTAATGACAAGAAAAAATAAAACTTACATAAGATTAAATACGAACTATAAGAGCAATTGACAGATCTGTTATACTCAGAACAATCAATTTTCACAGTAAAAGATTTTAGTCGGAGTAATGATTGGCTAAGCAAAAGACAGCCTTGGTGAGTGGCGTAACAGTTCAAGTCAAGCAATAAGCCTCTTAAAAAAAACTATAAAAGACCGATAATTATAAACACGGAATGGATCCAACCCTTCTTAAACGCAACCATGAGGAGATCTATCACACTGAATTATCATAAATGATACAGATCAAGTAATAACTGAACACAGACAAAAATCTAAACACCGAAAAAGAATTGAAGCATCATAATAAGTATACCTGAATCTCCCTGAGAACCTCGACACGTTTCCTGACAATGGGGGATAGAGATAGACTTCCAAGAACATCCAAGGGCTGCCCATTCAAACCCTTAGAAAAACCAATCATAAAAACATAAAAAATGATAATCAAATAAAGAGCAGGATAAAAAGTAATGACAACCGTCTATAAAAAACCGAAGCAAGAAGATAATATGAAATCGAGTAGTAACTAGTAAAGAGAAAATTAAAAACCTTGAGAGCGTTAATCAGTTGAGCATGGGCATCATCATTGAGAGCTGCAAAGAAAAAAAAATCAATAAACAAAGAATAGCATAGAGAAAGAGATTGGTAGAAAACAGAGAAAGAGTGATAATTGGCACCCGAAGAAAGATCAACTACGCTGAAAACTGGCTTGTTGTCGTTGGTCATTGTTGTGGAGAAGAAGCAAATAAGCAGAGAAAGTGCGGAGAGAGGGTTTGATTTTCGAGCGGCTATATCTCTAATCCTTCCCGTCTCCCTCCTTTTAAACACCTGAAACTGTTCTCCCTCTTTTTTTCTTTTTCTCTTTTTTTATATTTTTGTAGTTTTTTTATTTTTTATTCATTTTTTTCTTTTTATTTCGTTTTTTTATTATTATATTAACAAATTCGTAAGATTTCTATATTTTTTTAATGATTTTTTTTATTATTATTTTAGTAAGATTTATTTATTTTTTAATAATTTTTTCTTTTACGCTTTTTATTATTATATTACCATCTCAATAGGATTTATTTATTTTTTTAATAATTTTTTTCTTTTTATATTGAAGTTTTACCTACCAACATGTATTTTATTTTTTAGTGATAATTTTTAAGGATTTTTCGAAGATAAAAACTAATTTTAATTCTAATTAAAAGTAAAATTTAACTTGAAATAATTTGTTTCATGTATTTATTAAAATATATTAAATGATAAATTTTAACATAAATATTATATTTGGACCAAAACTATAAATTATGCTTAAAAGTTAGAATTAATTAAAAAGAAAAAAATATTTTTATTGAGATTAATCAAAATATCAAAATCAATTTTTTATATTATAATTTTTTTTAACAATATTAATATTTTGTATAGAATAAGAAATATGATGAGTTAAGTTTGAATTCAAGATTCTCTATTAAAAAATATAATTAAACTATATTTTAACAAAGTAAATTATTATTATTTAATTACATAGTCTATTAATAATAATAATAATTTAATTTAATATTATTATTATTTAATTAAACTATATTATATTTTGACTATAATAATAATAATTTCGTTGTTAAAATAAAATTTGATTATTATTTTTTAGGAGAATCTTAAATTCAAACTAATATCACCCCACATTTTTCATTCTATGCAAAATATTAAAAATATAATATAATATATTTAAAATTTTGTTAGTTTTTAATAAAAATGCTAATATTTTATATTTTATATTTATTTTTCGTACTAGGATATCAATCTTCTATTCTTTTTATTTTTATTTTTACTCAATTGACTATTCTTCTTAAGTCTTTATGTTCAATTTTGAAAAAATATATTATTGTTCATAATTTATTATAAAAGTTTATCGCATATTGTTACAACTGTCTCCATTGAGATGAAAAAGTATATCCCTTACAAATGTAAATGCTTTCCAATTGTCCTTTTTCTGTCGTGTACAATTTTAATAATAACTTAATAATGGCTATTTAAGTATTCTACGTGTCTTAGTCACACACAAAAATATGTTAGATTTTGTCGTAGGTTCTTAATTTTAAGTGTTTTTGAATCGGAAGTAAACATGATTCTAAATTGAATTGATTTTATTAAAATTGATTATAATAAAATTAAATTTTAAATAATTAATTTATATTTAAATATATTTATTTAAAAATGAATTGAATGATAAATTTTAATACAAAAATTATTTAAAATTAATTATAGAGATAGAAATTACAAATTTTAATTTTAAATAGAATTAATTTTGTAACTAAAATCAATTTTATTTTTGATAAATCAAACACTTCAAAATTATTAAGAAACAACAATACACTTTTAAAATGGATTTAGAATTTTTCAAAAACTAATTCAATTGTGTTATTAATTTATCAATTTTAGATGTGTCTATTTTATTACATAAAAATATTTTTATCTTTTCTAGAATTATATATTTTAGTCTCACAAATATCATATTTGATGTAATTTTTGTTTTAGGATTTTTTCTTTAAAAAATAATATTTGAATCAAAATAAAATTGGTTGCAGTAAAAGAGTATTTTTTTTCTCTAAACTTTTAGAATTGGAATTTAAATTATCTCGAAAAATTGTCATATTTACATGTTAAAACTATGAGTGGAAATCAAAATTACAATAAATATAATATCTAAATAATAATTGAAATTTTTAATATAAAAAATAGGCAATTTCATTAAGACAGCACAGTAAATAATTATTGTGTACTAAGTACTAACATCAATAAAATAGACCAAAATATATAAGTATTAGAAGGCACATCACAATTATTCATGAATACCATTTTATATTAACAATTAAAAACTCTTTATATTTTATAATTTTTTTAAATTACTTATATAATTGTTTTTTAATTTATTGAGATTTTTACTAAATTTAAAAAGGATCTAATTCTATTAATGACCCTAAAAAAGATACAATTCTATTAAAAAGAATAACTTCTGATATCGGATACTATTTTAAATTTTTTTCCAATTCTAGTATTCTTTTTTTTCTAGAATTTCCTATTTAAATAATGATATAACTGTTTAATATTTAACTTTACTATGTAGTATTGCCTATTTTGCCAATAAAAACGCATTTCCTTTTATCCACGTTGTGTTATACGGTTGCTTCTTAATCTGATTTATTTCTTCTTTAAATAATATTTATTTGTTTTAACAAATTTTATTTATTTTAAAAATTATATAATATTATTTTCAAAATAATTAATGCAGATTAAAAAAATTATATTATTAATATCAATAACAATTTCCACGATATGTCCTAGATATGTCCTAGTTGAAATTTAAGTATGTGTGAGTAGGTGCAAAAATAGTTTCACATTGAATAAGAATGTGGAGACTTGAGCATATATAATTGGGAAAACTCACTCATCTATCACCTTAAAATTTTAGGTGGATAAATGGTACTTCTCTCACAAAGGTGTTTAGTCATATACTATGTATCAATGCTCCTAGTGAACTCCCCCAACAATTGGTATCCAATTTACGTCAGAGATCGTGTTTCATGAAACCCTATAAGTGGTTATTGCAATGCTGTTTATTGCATTCAGACGGCGGTCAATGCTGCTAATTTCGGCAGAATCTCTCATGCTGAAACGGCGAAAGAGGTATGAGATATTCTCGTGAAGTATTACGAAGGAGGTGAGAAAGTCAAAGTTGTCAAGTTACAAACCTTGTGTCGCTAATATGTGTCGAAGGTTCAAAAACTCGTCCATCTCATGAAGGATTGTGGTGAAATTATAACTGATAAGATGATAGTTGAGAAGGTAATGAGAACGTTGACCTCTCACTTTGATCACGTTATCGTAGCTATTCAAGAATCCAACAATCTTGAAACCACAAAATTGGAAGATTTGGTTGGTTCGTTGGAGACGCATGAGATGAGGATTGTCGAAAGGAAATGAGTTCAGGATTTTATACAGGCGTTGCAAGCTCAATCATGGAAAAGGAATGGTGATTCCAACAAATTCAAAGGAAAAGTCGACAAGGCTCATGGAAAGAAGTCTTGGTTGAATCCTCACAAGCATCAGGCCAAAGATAGGACTTTTGAATCCCCGAAAAGAGGAGGAGGAAACTATCGAAAAGACAAAAAAGATTAAAAAAAGGTGTGCAGTGCTATAACTGTGAAAAATGAGGTCACGTAACCAAGAATTATTGGTACAGAAAAGACAAGGGATCGACAGGCAAAGACGAAGAAATAAACCTTGCACGCCAAGATTCAGATGATTCTGAAGGTGGTATGATGGTTATGGCTGCAGTTGCAGATAACCATGTCGAATCCAAGATCTGATTCCTCGACTCAGGCTGCTCAAATCACATGACTGGTTAAAAAGAGTGGTTGGAAGATTTCGATGAGTCGAAAAAGAGCAAGGTAAAACTTGTTGATAATAGTTCGTTGCAAGCAGAAGGTGTTGACAACATAGTTTTTCAAATGAGTAATAGATGGAAAGTTATGATTAAAGATGTGCTCTATGTACCTGGAATGAAGTGAAACCTTCTAAGTGTTGGACAACTGGTCAAAAAAAGTTTCTCAATTGTAATGAAAGATGGAGCATTGAAATTGTTCGACACCAAGAACAATTTGGTCTTAAAATCTCTGTTGTCGAAGAACATAACATTTAAGACTATGATCAGTTTGACAGAAATTCAATGTTTGAAAATTATTGTCGATCACAAGGATAATTGGTTGTGGCATTTGATATTTGGACATTTGAATTTTTTATCACTTAATCAACTGATTACCCAAGATATGGTTACAAGTATTCCAAATCTTGAGATGCCTGACAAACTTTGTGAAGGTTGTTTAGTAGGAAAGAAATCCAGAAAATATTTTGCTTTGACTATGCCAATAAGACCATCATGCATTCTCGAAGTGGTACGTTCAGATGTATGTGGACCATTCGAGGAACATACAATTGGTGGAAACAAATATTTTGTTTCGTCTATCGATGAGTTTAATCGAAAGTTGTGGATCTATGTAATCAAGAGAAAGGATGAAGTATTTGAAATCTTTAAGATATTCAAGATGCTTGTCGAAAACCAGAGTGAGAAGAGGATCAAAGTTATGCAAACAGATGGAGATGGCGAATACACTTCGAAGATGTTTGAAAAATTCTGCGTGGAACACGGTGTTAATTATGAGGTAACTTCTCCTTATACTCCTCAACATAATAGAATTTTTAAAAGAAGAAATAGAACCATATTAGATATGGTGAGATGCATGCTGAAGCAGAAGAATTTGCCAAAGTCTTTATAGGGTGAAGTTGTTTCAACTGCAGTTTATATCCTGAATAAGTGCCCTACCAAGATTTTGAAGAACAAAGTTCCTGAAGAAGTATGGAGTGGCAAACGACCATCGGTGAGTCATTTGAAGTAGTTTGGCTCTATGTGTTACAAGCATGTTCCTGATGCAAGAAGAAGGAAGCTTGATGAAAGAGTGAAACTACGATTCTGGTAGGATATTATAAAACTGGTGCATACAGGCTATTCAATTCAATCAATGAGAAGATTGTGTTGAGTCGAGACGTTCTGATTGATGAAAGTTCTGCCTGGATTAGAATTTTAGTAATTTAATTAACAAGCCATTGATGTGCTCTGATTTCAGTGAAGAAACTGATGAAGTCGAAGTTGATGGAATTGTTGAGAATCTAGTCGAAGTCAAAGT